CTTCTTCACGCTTGGTAATTGCGAATAATTCGGCCGAAATGAATTGGAGAGCCAACGTCTTTGTATATTTGATTGTTTTGCCGAAAAAAGCTCAGACGAAAGGCCCTTAATATCTAATAAAACATAAACAACTTCAAAGAACGGTAGGCATTAGCGAGCGCAAAACTGGCGAGTTCCTTTGGATACCAGCCGGGCTTGTGAAACCCATTAAGGTGTTTAACTATCAGAAAAATGCTGTTTTGGAAAAAGGCTACTTACGAGTGTCGTCGTAGCGGATTCCGAAGAACTCAGAAAAACAGCTCAGTTGGGCGGTGGTGTTGTGCGGCGTTGGAGGCCAACAGAAGATCTGATCGTAGGACACTTTGCAAAATTCACCTGGATAAAGTTGTTGCAAAAGCACAGTCTCGTTTTGGTACAGCGCCTGGCATTCTTCCAGTTTCTGGCTGGAGTCACTGGAAATATGGAAAAATTGCTCGATTGCAACCGACAAAGGAAACAACAAGAAGCACTGAAAGGAGATTTATTGACTGTTTACTTTAGTATTTGAAACGGGTTTCGTACGTTTACCCACTGCCAGATTATCGCTTTATCTTTTCGCAAAAACATAAACTTTTACTGCTTAAGATGTGCAAAATCCCATACGAATCGCTGGGGAAAGCAGCGGCGTTATTATGCACGTAGATTCCAATTCACAAATGTAAGTAAATAAATATCCAAGTTATTTATGCAGACGAGAGGAAAACGGGAATGGCAGGAAAATCGGATCCGGAAGCTGTCTACACAGGATATTGCTATGCGCGGGGTTTCTATTATATCCATTGTGGATATTTATGCTTTAAATCGAAATCGTTTATCTGATGTTATTTTTGTTTATCCGCATGCGAGTGAAATGCTTATTTGCGCGAATATTGAAAACTTTATTCCTTCGGGTTTGATTACTTACTTGGAGGGTCTGCCTTCGAATGACCCATTTAAAACAGCTCCATACACGGCGGCTGAAATGTTTTGTGCCATTTTTCACCCACAAACACACTTTCAACAGTCAGTTACACTGAACAGGAATCTTCCGCACCACTTCTTAAATTGTAATACACTTCGTAGATGAAGGGCATCTTCCTTAAATGTCTGCTACCACTATGAACCAGCAGACCAGGGCGCAATTTGCACATGTTTCACTCAGTCTTTTGGGCGAAGAAGGGTGAAGAACAGGAAAATCTGGAAAAAAACCGTTTTCAGAAGGTTTTTCGTTCCATATCAGTTGTTATGCAGAGCCCTTCGGGCACAATTATGTTTAGAAAGTTTCACTACCATAAAATGAAAGTTTCAACGCATTCCAGAAACATTGAGCGCACTTTACTTTATGACAAAAACCTGCCACCTCAAAAATAATTATTTGGTAATTGAAACTTTAACCTGCGCTTAATTAATTTTAAAACGCTACACATTAGCTTTTTGATCATTCAATTTACTATTCAACTAATTACGATTCCTCTCTTCTTCCGCAAACATTTATTTGCATTTTTAGCGCCAAATTATTTCCAAACGCTCGATTTGCTGGGCACTAAATCCCGATTAGAAAAAAAATAGTAAATGCTCAAAAACGTTAATAATTATTGCGCGAAATATACCACAAAACCGCGCTTTTAGGGTCAATTGCACCTGTTAAAACATTCACCAAACAAATAAATAATCATTGGTTCGATTATCTGGCCTGCGGTTGAACGATACTGGACGATCGACTGTGTA